ATTTGCATCTGAATGGGTATGTTGATCATATACCTTCATCAAGCAGCTACATGAAAATTTAGTTTTTCAAATATTGGATTGTTCACAAAGCTGATAGGAACTCTTCAAATTTTGAAATATTGATGAAATTTGGTATTAAAAACCAGCAATTTTTAAATGTAAACAAACATTTCCCCTTTTTCAAACTACTAGAGAGAACATTACATGTTGTAAGTTTTGAAATGTTATTGACATTCCAGAATTGGTAAGAAATTAAGGAAAAATCCAAACAAATGTTGCAATCTTCCCCCGTAATGAGGTGCATGGCTTAGGAGCTGGAGCACAGCTGCAGGGGAGTAGGGGATAATAGCCTACCTACAGAGATAATAGGCTGGGCTCAGAGGAAGTTAAAAGCTTTCAGGAAAGGAAGCTGGGGTGGGGGTAGAGGGAAGGCTGGGGTGTAGGGAGAAGCACAGGGTTTGTGTTGTTTCTCCTGGTCTGAGGAAAAGGCCTCAGGTTTTCTTTTTGTGTTTGTTCTTTGTACTTATACTGGTTTTGTTTGTTGTGGTGAGAAGCTATCCCCATGTAGAACAAATGGACTGATTTCTATGAAGAAACTGGCTCCTGAGTCTGCTTAAGAGAGTGTTAACCTGCTAGACCCCCATTCTGTCTTGACTATTCTAGATGCTCATGAAATTTCTACTCTGACTGTTTTTTGTAATTAGTGACTTCTGTCATGTAGTATGATTTCTATGCTTTGATTTGATGATTGTAGTAGTTTAAACAGAAGGGCAACTAATGGTATATATTACACTTTCCAGAATAAATAATCTTTTAAACTTTGTTATGCACTCATGAATGCTCAGCTATCATCTATTTTGGGGTCTAATTGGTCAAATGACCCTATGAATCATTACAATTTTAAATTTAAAAGCTCTCTAGGACAAAAATGACTTTCTTTGCTGTGTTTGTACTGTACCTAGCTCACTTCAGTCCTGGCCCATGACTGTGACTCTGAGGCTGTACAAATAATATACCAGTATACAAATAAGAATCCAGTGGCATATGTTAGTATTTTATTTTTCTTTAAAAAATACATAGAGAGAGGGAGATGAAAGTTGCTTATGCACCCACACCATAATAGAAAGAGTTATATTACCCTTTGGGCACCTAAATAGCAATTTTCCAACAATGTGAGTAGCCTTTTGGCACTTAAACCTTGGTTGTGATTCTACTACCCTTGCATTGTCAATATGTAAGCATGTACCAGTAGACTGAATATATGCAGTTGGCTTTGTACTGGCCATGTACATACCCAGCCATATACATGCACCTGCTGTGGACACGTAAGTGCATTCATGTCAAGAAAATGTAGCTAGACAAAACCACTAGGTAATGGGTGTGAGGAGATAGCAGCAGTGGCCTCTGTGTTTTAGCACCCATAGCTGAGTAGTTAGGGCAGTGAATCACAACTTTTTAGACTCAAGGCACCCCTTGGAAAATGTCAGCTCTTATTTTTTATACAGAAAAAAGTAATAGAGCAATTCTGTGGTACCATGGTTGAGAATCACTGGACTAGAACATTTCCCTAGCAAGCAGGAGGTCTGCAGTTTTGCCTAAAGCATGGCTGAAGAATTTGGACCAGTACCAATTTTATAACACATTCAACATCTAAACTATGTCCTCAGCATGTCCCAGCAGGGATATTCTTGAGCAGGTCCCAGGCACCTATTCTTATTCATACACTTCAAACCCAGAAATGCACCAGGAAAGCCAATCCAGGGATATTCACAGCATTCACCCTCCTACATGCTAGAGATTGAGATTTTGAGAATGACCAGCTGCAAGGTATGCACTATGATATTAGGGGAGGTTCAGAGCTGTGTATTCACCTTTGGCATCAGGGCAATTAAAAGGGCAGCCTGCTGCCTGGGAATACCTGAAGTTGTATCAAAGGTGAGGCAGGTGGGCAGACTGCCCTAGACAGTGGGCAGGCCAACCTTCATGCTGGCCCTAAGATGGCCCACTTGTTACAGGGGAGCAAGCAGGCAGGGTGTACTTGGCAGGATCCGTGTCTGCCAAGAGACTCTGGAGGTAGTAGAGACATGCTGTAAGCCTCTTGTCCAGATTTGCAAAGGCTGAGTGTACCTTTGCTTCCGATTTAGTGCTCAATAGAGGTGCACCAATACATAAGTCCGATATTGGATCGGCACCAATATAAGGAAAATTAGCTGTATTGGAAATCATCCTCATGCATCCAAAAATTTGGCCAATAAATGCCTGTGCATATGTGCAGCCACAGCACAACATGCAGGCAGTGAAGAGTACAGCCTGGCAGCTTGGAGAGCTGTTTGCAGCTGGTAAGTCTGTTGTGGAGGAAGGGGAGGGGGAAGGGAAGAGGCATGGGGGAGCAAATCAGTGCCCCCCACAATGAGGGAGAGAGTGGGGCTGGGGCTGGGACAGGCACTGCCCACTAGTCAGGGCAGGGTGTGAGACAGCCACAGCACATCCAGGGAGTGCAGGGGGGGAGGGAGTGTGCCCCTCAGATCTTCATGGGGCAGGGCAGGAGGGCTGCAGCTGTGGGCTGGAGCTAGGACTATGCTGGGCTCTTCTTGGTGGGGGCTGGGCTCAGGGCAGGTGGTGGCAGTGCTGGGAGAGGGCTACCGGGGGGGGGGGGGGGGGGTGGAACCCCTTTAAATTTCCCGTAAGCCCCCACAACACCCTTTCCCAGCGTTGTTGCTGCCTGCCCGGCACAGCCCCAGCTCAACCCCCGCCTCTACCCACATCCCCCAGAAGAGCCAGGGATGCACCAGGTGGACGACAGCAGCACTGCAAGGGTGGGTTGAGGGGCTACAGCAAAATTTGGGGTGGCTGCAGCCCCCTCCCAGTGCTGCCACCACTTGCCCTGAGCCCAGCCCGCACCAAGAAAAGCCCAGTGCAGCCCCAGCTCCAGCTCGCCCCCCCCACTCCACGCATATCTGGGGGGCACACACTCCCCCATGCCCTCCCAGGTGTGCACAGCAGCAGGAGCTGCCCCCCCCCCGGACAAGCTGTGGCTCCATCCTATGCCCCACTCCACCCTGGCTTGGCAGCGTCTGCCCCACTCCCTCCCTCACCTCAGCAGGCATTGATCTGCCCCACCTACACCACCTCCTTTTCCAGCACAGCAGACTTACCAGCTGGACGCAGCTGTATCAGAAATTGGATCGGTATCGGGTGATATGCCTCGTTAACAATCAGCTATCAGTATTGGCCCCCAAAATCTCTATCGGTGCACCCCTAGTGTTCAGTCCACTAGACTTCTCCCTCCCCCTCTCTCTCTCAAGCACACATAGTTGTCAAACCTGAGCATTGTTTTACAAGAACTGAGACAAGTCAATTTACAGGTGTATGCACATATTATGGTTGTTGCTTCAACCTTATTTTTAATGGTACAATCCACTCTGTTGCTATAGTTTCAGCACTAACTGATCATGGCGTGGGAAGCAAAGTGACTCCTCGGAGGAAAAAAAGCATAATTATGTTTGGAAGGGATTAATAATAATAACAATAATGATGATAATAATAGCCCAGGCCCTAGAGTTCAGCGCTGCTGTTTTGTGCCACTCTGCCAGTTGATTCTATCCATAAAGACAAAGCAATGAGCACAAGAAGGGCTCCCCTGCTTCTCTGCAATTTCTCATCTCTGTTGTGCTGTAATAGCAATATCTTACTCTTTTACACACTTTTTTTTTCTACAGTAGATCTCAAGGTACTTTGCAAAGAAAGTTAATTCATTATCCCCATTTTAGAGATGGGGAAACTGAGGCCCATAAAGACCTCTGAGAGGTGAGTACTCATCTAAGCTTACACAGCAAGGTAGTAGCAAAACCTAAAGTGAATCCAGGTCTTCTGAGTCCCAATCCTGTGGGGTTTTTTGTTTGTTTTTCAGTCTGTTGCACACAGGACTTCTGTAGTCTCCTGTGAAGCACAGCTTCCATATCATCCTCTAGAAACCACTGCCCACTGATGTAACCCAAAGCATCCCTCAGGCTCATGTAGGTAACACTGGAAAGCAGCCTGGCACACAGCAGGACCAGCTGTAGAAGGAATGTACTGGCCACTTTTGCACCCTACCTCCTGAGCAGCAGTGGGCTTTCCTTGCCTAGGATCCTGCTGAGAATCTAGGGCATTATTTCTGATGCAGATTATTCACTCTTATCATAAACAGGGTAGTGCATCCCTATTGCAGCCCATTAGTAGCCCATTAGCAGAGAACCCTTTCACAATTCATTTACTTGTGTAAGTGCTTATAAAATAAAAATAAATGCTGAGGGGATTCTTCCTCCTAATGAATAGGCCTGTGAACGTGTGTGTATAGTGCAGCATCTTACAAGTCCATCTTGGTGTTTTTTAGGTGGGAGAATGAAAGTTGTAATGAGTAAAATATTGATTTTCCATAAAAGGGCTTTAATCAAATGCCCTGACACCCCAAGGGGGACAGCGCTCTGCTACAACACCAAATTGCACTTCATATACCATCTATTTTTCAAACACTGTATAAATGAGCCTGCCCACCGGATATATGAGCATGCCTAAATGTCATACATCACTGGAAATAAGAAAGCCACTGGTATCTTGGTAGGGAATGGAACAGCCAATACTACTATGAGCCTGTGGAAAAGCAAGCCTTGTTTTTCCTTGTGACAGGTGCTGCAGTCCAAGTAAGGCTCTGTCAGGAAGGAACTTGCTCTGTGATTTTTCTTCCTTGTGATTTTTCCAGTTTTTCCTCAAGCATTATAAGATTGCTTTCTTTCCTTGCCATGTATCAGCTGGCTTAACTTGGGTAGGCAGGGTCTCCCATTATGAAGAGAATATGATATAAACAGAGAAGCTTGGAACTATGTGTGCCCCGCTTTGCTCTTAATTTTCCCTGCACAGTGGAAGCTGTATGTCTGTGGTCCCATGATTCATGAACTCTTGAGTACAGCTCTGTGAAGGCCTTAGCGCTTTTTGCCTCTTCATGAAACTACCTCAGCCCTATCATCCAGATGAAAGAAAATATTATTACCTTTTAATTTGCTTCATGAATTGTTTATATCACAAAATAAACCAGCAAGTCTTTGATGACTCAAGGAGGGTCAGCAATGGGGTTCCTGCATCTATTTCACTCTCTTTTTGTCAGTTGCGTGCATGAAGTTGGCCCTCTCTGGTCCGCCTTCTCCAGATTCATTTGGAACCTTTCCTAGGTTGCTAAACAGGAAGCTTGTGCTTTACCACGATGTTACCTGTCTTCAGAAAGGAGAAGCCAACTTGTCCTTTGTGCTTCAGGCAGAAGATGAATCTTGAATGGGGGTTAGAAAACAAGAAACAAAATACCCAATTTAAAAAATAGAGAGGAAGAAATAGAAGATTCAGACAAATAGTCCACTTCATAAGGTATACCATGGAAAAAACAATTCTGAGTTTCCAGAGACTAATCACAGTAGGTAACCATGATCCAAAGAAATCTTCACTGACCTTGAGAAATGGCAATATATCTCTCGTATGATTTCTATGCTTGTCGCTCCATTCACCAGGACACCATTAGACGTTCTGTCACTGTTGTGATTACATTAGTTGTGGATTTTCCTGTTTTAGATTTCCACATAGCAGGGTGGGCCACGAGTGGGCTGTCATCTTCCACCCCAGTTGGCTGAACATAGTGTGAAAACTCAGCAGAACAAACTGGGGTGCCACCACTGAAGTACTGCACACCTCTGCTATGGCACTGGTCTTCTTAGTGGCTGAGTACTGTGTGCCTATCTGGGTTGCTAGCGCTCATACCTAATGCATGGATGTCCAATTAAATTCTGCAGCATGTACTATCTCCAGAACCCTGAAATGTACACCAATTCAATAGTTACTGGTGCTGGCCAATATTGCTTCTCCAGACATCCGCCATGATGAAGCTACATAGAGAGGGTGTCCGCATGCATGACAACCCAGACCTCCCCATCTAAAGAGATTTAAAGGACATCCCAGCTCACTGCTTGGTCTTCGAGAAACCTTTGTGGACACATGTACAAGCCCTTGTAGCACACAGCAATGTAGCAGATTGGAGGAAAGTGTGGAATGAAACCATCATTCGGAATAAACATCTAATTTCTGACCCAACAATAAAGCCTCCTGGTTTTGACCTTTCACAAAAACATGGAAGGTTCTAAATCGGATCCCAGTCAGGCATGGCTGCTGCAGTCACTTTATGTACAAATGGTGTATTAGGAGTTCTGTAAAATGCAACTGTGGCAATCCTGATCAAACTATGGCCCATGTAAGAGCACTCTGTCTTCTATGCAAATTTAACAGTGATATTGTAGAGAGAAATTTCCTTTCCTAAAGCTTCCTAAAGCATTAGACCTGTTAACTAACCTTAAACTGGACTTAAGTTGTTCCAGGTTAACCATATGAAAGAACAAGAAGCATTAGTATGCTCCCTTTCCTATGGCCAACTGGTGCTGCCTTAGTCGGGGAGGCAGGTGTCCTCTCCTGTGACCAGTCCTGCTGACTGGGTTGGGGGGTCCCCCCATGGCCAGTTGTACTGCCTGGGAGGACCCCCGTGACAGTCGATCACTGATCACTGTGGCCAATCGTTACAGCTGGTTCTGGGAGTAGCTGCAGCCACTTCAGGAAGCAGCTGCAGCAACTGGCCAGTGCCTGCAGGGCAGGCACTGGCACACCCACCTGCCCCCCTGCTCATCACCTAAGCAGCAAGCACGGCTGGTCGGGGGGGCACCTACACTCTCAGGGGGTGCATGTGCACCCCTGTACACCCCCTACACATCGCCACTGCCCTTCCCCACTAGTGACTTCCTGTGCTTCTACAGCACAGTGCTGTAGTAGCCAATTGGATTTGGAGGAGATTAGACCTGATTCGGTGGCTGAATCTCCGCATCCAAATCAAATAGGGAGACCCATTAAAAGGTCTAAATCAATTCCAAAGCCTCCAAATCAATTCTGAGAGATTTGGAGATTTGGAAGACTTGCAGGAAACAGAAACTAAGAGGGAGGGGAATGGGGTGATCTTCCATATATGGAAATGCTGGAGGGGGGGGAAGTCTGGTCTGGTATTGACATCTGTAGCTGGCCAGTGAGTGTGAGCTTTCTCTGGGTTCCCTTTCAATCACAGTGCTCTGGGGGAAGGATGAAGAAACAACATAGCAAGCTGTCAAGTAATCTGTGTCTTTTGTGAGCTGTCTCTCTCTTGGACCAGCAGCATCTGAAAGGCTCTGGCTTGCTATCTAGTCTCTTGCTAGCTAGT